AGGAAAGTCAAGTCATGGTAGGGCATCTACAGTTTCTGGATTGATTTTCTTTACGAAATTAACCTTCCTTTGCTGTTTAGCTCGTGAAATCTGCTGCTCAACTGGAGGAAGCCACCAGGAGAAAACTAGTTCTGGAGGGAGACATCGCCAAGCTTGAAGCGGCTTTGACAAGAAGTAAGTTTTCTTTTGACCCCCATGACTCTATTTGTATCCGACTTGCCAAGGGAAACGAACCATCTGTAGGTCTTTGTCTCTATTCTGTCTTGTCCCTCGCGGCTACTCCTTTTTTTCCCTCTGAGATCCGAAATGTATTGTAACCTGCCCCACGTGGCCCCATCGCTGGGATAAATATCTGAGGTTGTGCAGAGCGGCATTAGATGTGATGAGAGAGCATATCTGATGGACTTGTGTGGGCGGTGTGAGGCATGGCTTTGATTCGTGATCTAGTTGAATAAATTATAAATCTTCACTCTCCTCTGCGACTAGCATAAATAAAGTAGTTCCTTTGATCTTCACGTGGCTTCTATTGTACTACGATTTTTGAGGGCAGTTTCCTTTTTTAACCCCTACCCTACTCCAAGCAGTCTTGTGGTGCTGTCAACGCCGTCCTCAGCTACCTCCAGGTTCGGTCAATAGAGGCTGACGACCTCTTCTCTTCAGCACACTTGGGCCTCTGCCTCCAATCCAGCTCTCACTTGAGTCCCTTGGAAATTCGTAGGTTGGAAGTGATACCATCGAAATTAAATCCTTGTCCAAAGCCTCCAGCAGCTTCGCGCGGTGTTACCGACAGGGTCAAACATCATGCCGCGGAAACTCTTCTTCAGGACTAACTCCTCCGTGAAGAAGTGTCCATACCCCGCCCCCTGCCCCAGCCCTCCCACCTTTCACAGGCCCTCGAGGTACTTGCCCTATGTCTGCTGCAAGTATAGAGCGCTGCATGACGCACTGGGCTTTCATTGGGACAAATCATTTAGTAATTTTCTTGGAATCGCGGAACATCATCCGCAAACGATCTTTTATGAAGCAGCGGGAGGAACTCATCGGGTGTGCTTACGACGGATGGTGACCCTTGATTGGAACAGGGTCGTAGCGGGACCCTGTTTTGGGGGTCGTGTTAACACCGGATTTCACTCATCTTGATCCAGTAGCTTGGTAGAAGGGTTGGACTTGGGCTGTCTTGGCTGGTTTCCGCTAGTTTCTTCCCAGGCCTCCCCTTTAGCACACCGTGGTTCATAACTGAGCGCCATGCCCGTCATCTTTCCATTGCGCATTGTTGATTTGAAGAGGATGGAAAGTGCCTGGAACGCTTTGACGGCTGTTTTTTCACCAGTTTCTTCGCATGCATGCCACTTCGCTTTCCGCGCTTGATATTTGAGTGTCACATCGTCATCTTGTCAATTTACTTGGTTTTTTGAGGAGGAAGAAAAGTGCTTCTGTGTGTTCAGAGTCAGCATCAGTGAAGGAGCTGGAAGAGAAAGTTGACGAGATGGCAGCAAAGCTGCGTGAAAACGAAGAACAAGAACAAAAATACAAGGATAAAATGGCCGTCCTTGAAAAGGTATCATTTTTCTTCAGCCCTGATTAGAGTTCGGATTGGCGTTTTGTTTCTATAGCAACACCTTTCAGGAAAACTTCAATTTGAACGTGTCGAAAGACAAAACTTCCACCAGACTTGCTGAAGAACAGAAAAGAACTGCTGGTGAGTAGCTCAACGGTTGACTTTTTATACATTGCTAATTACTGAGTATGTTGAGTTCGTATATTTCAGAATTGGAGCAGAAGCTTCGGGAAGTGAGCAAGGGTAAACAGAGTGCGGAGCTCAAAGCGCGAAGTGAGCAGCAGCGAAGCAGTGAAAGAGATGGGAAACTTCAGACGCTCACCAACAGAGTCAGCATTTGAGAGCGCTAGACCAGTCGAGACCTCAAAATTCCATTTAAAAGGTTCCATTCAGATCAAAGAACTGGAGGTTCAACTTGCCGATAAAGCCGCTCGTACTGACGTCGATAGCATAATTGTGAAGAAAATCGAGTCAGGTGGACAGGCATTAGCGATGGAACTCGATAGACAGAAACATACGGTAAGGCTCGGCGACAAGGTAAGGATTAGGTCCAAGGAAGTCCGATTGGGTCTGTTCAGAATGCCGAGCTTGCCCGTCAGAATGAGGAGCTACGTGGGACATGCAAAGCGCTTGAGGAGGAACTGGTAGCCACGAGAGCCGCACTGGAGAAGAAGACAACCGTCTCCAAGCAGGCGATGACCGATCTGCTTAATAACTATAAGGATTCTGAACGGAAGTCTATGGAAAGAGCCACTGAATGCGAGCAACTCAAAGCTCAACTTCACTCCGTCAGGTGGGAATGTAGCTTAGGAAAATTAAGGTATAAGTTCAAAGACGCATTGCTTCAGTGCCAAATTGGAACGCCTCGAAAAACGTCGGACCGATTTGGAGGCACGCGTCGAGGAAGGTGAAATGAGGAATGCTGAGTTAACGAAGAAAATACATCAATATGAACGAAGTGCTAAAATGGCGTTGAATCTAGCCGGTATGCTCGTTCATTAGTAGGTCCTCACATTAAGGAGTTATTCCACAGCTACTGATGGGCGGAGACTCATAACCGTTGCGCTCTCCTCATTGGTGCGCCCTTTCTAACGCAGTATGCAGGAGGCCACGCGCCAACGAGGAAAGTACAAAGCACACTATAGGTCCTCGCTGTCTCATCTGCCTATCAGATTATTTCAAAATTTATCTTTAAGCGCCATCATTATGACAAGCGCTCCCCTCTACGATCAGCGCTGTGGATCGTAAAAATTGGCACAGAAAGTGATATTACAGTAACCTCCTTCCAGGGACTTCTACTACGCTCCGTGGCGGTCAATCCATCGTTGACATTCCGAGGACCACAGCATCATCAGGTAATCTTTGATAGCGCCCTTGTCAGAAGCCAGTCATATTCCAAATCTCGTTGCCGTTTACCATTTACGATTTTGTCTTGGTTAGATTCCTACGGATATTCCTCTGGGATAGACTCACTCCATCCCCGGGAGCAGTGCAACTCCCCGAATGCGACCCGTCGGGCGTTCACTTCGACACGCCAGTGATTTCCATCGAAGTAAGGTT